AATTTTTTCATAGTTGCTACCAAAGCTAACCAGGAACTACATAAAGGAGGGTTACATGGAGAAGACTGGACCAAAGGTAATCTGCTGCTTCATATTTCTTCATTCCAATGGAAAATTATTACTGACAATTATGATTTAAACTTACTTGTTTTAAAAGCAATATTAAGACCTTTCTTTTATGGTACTTACAGCACACCGAAGGCTTTAAGAAGAGATGGTTTACAATGGACGACAGGAGGCTCATGTACTTCAAAGATCCACTGGTACATACTAGAAATTATGTATCAATCCTGTATTTGACCTCAGTCACCAGTAGGTGCTGCTGTGCCTCTTGTTTGCACTATAAACAACTCAGTTTGTGTGATAAATGACCTGAGGAGACAAATGTATAACTCCTTTTATGGTGCCTAACATTTCAGGACAACCATATAGCTTCGGATCCTTAAAAAAATGTGTTCTGCATGGTCATGTATGTGTTTTTCAATCATAGGATGCCTACGCTCGAGGTGAGGTTTTCATTGGCAGTAAGGAAAACAGCTACACTGTGCTGCCAGGCCTCCCTGCCACTGTTGTGGGAACTCACTGGCCATTTGGAATCACTATAGTGACCCCAGACAGGAAGTTTCTTTTTGCTTGTGAGACTGAAGAGGATCAGAGAAGCTGGATGGCGGCATTTCAGATTGTAATCAACAGACCGATGCTGCCTCAGGAGTTTGCTGGTAAGCAGATAAATCAGATCTCTATCATCTATCTATCTATCTATCTATCTATCTATCTATCTATCTATCTATCTATCTATCTATCTATCTATCTATCTATCTATCTATCCAGCCATCCATCCATCCATCCATCCATCCATCCATCCATCATCATCTAGTTCATCACATTTCCTCTCTGTTACGTTTCGAACAATATTATCATTCCTGGTTATCTAAAAGCACCCCCGAAAACAGGAAACTGAGCCTGACTAGCTCAGTCGGCAGAGCATGAGACTCTTAATCTCAGGGTCATGGGTTCG